CATGGTAGTAGGGGTCAGCCACAGGGGTCTAGACTCCAGCTTTTACTCACACAGCTGTAGAGGCCTGGGAGAGCTGCTGGTGCAGTTCCCAGGCTCCAAGGGGAGTTGACTGGGGCGTGGGGCAGGGAACAGGAAGAGACTGAGACAGCTGAATGTGACTATCTGTGGAGTTAAAGCTGGTAAAACCTGCAAGCTTTCTGCAGCGGCTGTGCTGACCATTCGCTGCTCTCTTCAGTGGTAAACGCTGCTGGTCTGTCTGCAGAGCAGACCACTGGGAACCATGATCACTCCACAGCGTGGCTATTACTGGTGGTCCCTACTTTTCTTCCTGGTTACTAGCTGTCTCTACATCTCAGCTTTGCTGGTCTCTGGGTGCAATGAAACTGAAGTAGGACCTTCATGTGGGGCCACGAAATGCAAGGGAAGCTGCCGATGTGCCCTGCACTTCTCTTCCCTGCAAGAGGAACTCTTTCTAGCTGGGAAGCTGAGCAATGCCAGCTTGGGGACAGGAGAATCCAAAAACGAAGCTGTCCTCTTTCCCTTTGGGAGCAGTCATTCTCAAGGGTTTTTTTGTTCCACTATGCTTTGAAGTTTCTTAAGTAGACTCTAGAGCTCTCCTTAGTCATGGTTAGCTACCTAGTTGTTGTTTTCTGTGAAGGGATGAAGGCTGAGGTCTATTACGCTGCCATTTTGGTGACATCCCACTGGTAAATTTTTATAATATCTATTATAATGTTCTACCTTAGTAAACCTGAATTTTAAAAAACTCAAAGATTTTCAATGTTTAGGGATCACAATCTTTGCCAAATCAGTTAATACTAAAAACAACCCTATACAATACAAATATTACTGAAAGATCTTACAATACACAAACAGAGCAAAAGAAAAACATAAGCAAGTTCCACCATTTGCACCTTTAAAGCAATAAATCATGGTGGTGAAATATGAAAAATACAAAATGTCATGATCACTGTATCATGATTCAATAAAACTCAGTCTCTATCCAAACACAGTAGAAGAAAAGTACACAAACACCCTGACATGTGTAATTTTAAATTTATAACCGTAAACCTCAAATGGACCTTCAGTGCTGCCTGAAAGTCGTACTTTATTTCATTCCTGGTTCTCTCAAAAACCATTCCACACTTTTTTCTCAAACCTCTAACACCCCTTCTTCACCATCACTTTAGCAGATAACCCTAGTCTTTTCACTAAACAAAGAGAAGCAAAAAGAAGAGAACTGGTTCATGTGTCTATCACCACGTTTACAAACCTCCTTGCCTCTTAAAGACTCTCTCCTCCTGCCATGACGACAGGCAGCACCCAGCTTCTCTGGAAGGCCAGCCCCCTCACGGGCTGTCCTCACACTCACTCTTGAACCCATGATAATCACGCCTTCCTCCCTACCAGACCAAGGAAACCACACCTAAGAGAGTCGCCAGAAATCTCCACAATGCCAAATCTAATGGTCACTTGTCCATCTTCAGAGATCTTATTCAGCCTCTCAAAAGCCACTGGCACTTCCTGTCTTCTCCCACTTCTGAAACTCCACACCCTCGATCTTCCTGCTGCCTCACTGGCTGCACTTTCTCAATCTCATCTGTTGAACCCTTTCGGTCCCCTTCCAGACAGTGCTCAAGAGCTCAGTCTTCAGACCCACATCATTAATAATTTCTTAAGTCCTATGGCTTTAAATACGTTTATTTTTTAAGATTTTTTGTTTATTCATCTGAGAGAGAGAGAGAGCACAAGCAGGGGGAGGGGGAGAGAGAGAAGCAGGCTCCCCACTGAGCAGTGAGCCTGACGTGGGGCTCGATCCCAGGACCCTGGGATCATGACCTGAGCCGAGGGCAGACGCTCAACAAACTGAGCTACCCAGGCGCCCCTAAATACATTTAAATGTTAACAGCATCCAAATCTATATGACAGAGCCAACACCAACCAGAGCCTCATGACAGTCACTCCATGCCACCATGTGAATGTTTAACAGGCATTTCATATTTCACACGTCCGTAACAGCATTCTTGATCTCCAACCTCCAGTGAGATGTGTCCCCTGCAAGGTTTTCTATTTCAATCAATAACATCAGAATTGCCCCAAATCCTACCACTTCTCAGTAGTTTCCCACCCTAATCCAAGGCTCTATATGAATTAATGCAATACCCTCCTAAAGTGATCTCCCTATTTCCACTCCTGCCTCTCCACATTACCTTCTCAAAAGAGCTGCCAGAAAAATCCTTTCTAAAATAAACCAGCAGGTTTCAATCTGGCATTTAAAGAGCTGAGAAGTTGCCACTCTGTCCCAACAACAAGTACAAAGCAGAACAGCATGAAAAATCAACAACTCCTCTTAGATCTCTCAGGAAAGGGATGACCCCAAAATCAGGGAGACAGTCAGGTGGGTAGAGAGAACCACAATTTATCTGTGTGGGAAGCAGTGGTCCCATCGGAATCAGTGCTGGGCAGGAAAACCTAACCTGTAACTGACATAGTGCCGGAGGCTCAGTGTGGACAGAGGGACAAGTCTGAAAGTTAAATACTCTGGGGAACCAGGTCCTAGGGAAAGCCCCCATAATTCAGTGAGTTTGACCTCTAGGTGCTCAACCAGGTCCTCAGAGCAAAGATCAGAGAAAGAAGATCAGAAGAAGAAGCATTTTGACAGACAGCAGAGCATTCTGTTCTTCTTAACAAGGTCAGCCCTCAGGAGGAACTGTCTTACCAGAGCTTCACCCGCGGGGGTTTTATCACAGCCCGGCCCACCGGAAGCAAGGGACACAAGGCACTGCAGCCCCCTCCAGCCATCCCTTCCCCGCGAGGCAGTGAAGAAAACCAGAAGCACTGGTGAAGTTCACAGGCCCGGGAGCATCGGCTCACCAACAACAGATGGACAACGTAAGCAGAGATGGAAATCCTAAGCACCAGGAAGCACTTCAAGAGACCAAAAACACGACAACAGAAATGAAGAGTGCTTCTGATGGGCTTATGAGCAGACCGGACATGGCTGAGAAAGGAAGCTCGGAGCCTGAAGATGACAAGAGAAACTTCCACAATCAGAAAGCAGAGAGAACAAAGACTGAAGAAAACAAAACAGGATATATGAGAATTGTGGGACAATCACAGAACATAAACCAGATCATGACACTGTCCTAGTCCAAACCCTCAAAATCACTTACAATGCCCATCGCTTACACAAAGCCACAAGCTCCCACACCATGGCCTGTAAGACCTCACAGGACTTGAGTCCTGCTATGTCTCCCACCTCTTCTTCTACTGCCCTGTTCCTCTCTCCTTTTCCCAGTCTCACTTGTCATCCTGCGGTCTTCTCCTGCTCTTCGAGCTCACCTCTGCTTCAGATCCTCTGCATTTGCTGTTTCTTCTGCATGAATATTCTCTCTGGGACATTCACATGGACCATTCCCTGACTCTGTTCACAGGCTGCAGAAACATCACCTCCACAGAGAGGCCTTCCTTCAACACTCTACTGAAACACCAGCCTCCCTCCTTCCATTCTGCTTTACTTCCTACAGCAATATTTTCTATTTTGTATAATATTTATGTTATATAATACTTTACATCATGCATTTGTTCACTTTCTGTCTCATCCACCAGAAATAAGAGCACCTTGAGGGGAGGAACTTTGACTTGATCGGTTCCCTGCTCACAGCACCAAGAATGGTGATCTACCTAGCACAAATTAGGTGTTCAGTGAACAAGTGAAGCAATAAATGACTATTACAATTTATAACAAGGTTTTATCTTGTGTATCAACCTGAATTGACTACGCTCAGATTACTAAAACTAAACAATTCAGAGTTGCACATAAAATGATCTGTCCTGTTTCTGAAAAGAAAACTTTCATAAAAATATGACCTTTCTGCATTGAATTTCCAGACCCTAGGAGACTTCTAGTCTTTCCCTCCAAATAAAGAGAAGTAAAATGATCCTATGGGTTAAATTCAAGATCCCATACGATTCTTGGTGATGGGAAGAATAATCATTTCTATTTAAACCCAAGTTTGTTTTACTCCTCCCAACACACACATACACACAGACACCTTATCTTTATTCTAGTTTTCATTAAGTAAAATTTTTCACCAGGCAGTATATTCACACAGTTTGAAAAAAAAGAAGTCTAAAAATGTATACAGTAAAAAATCTTGCCCTTGTACGTCAGATACCGAGTTCAAACTCCCACCATCAAAAAGTAACCACTGATATCCCAAAGCAGGCATGGGCAAATTATTCCAAATATTTCAGCTTTGTGGGCTGTAAGGTCTCCATCACAACTATTCAACTCAGCTGTTGTAGGGTGAAAACAACCTTAGACAATAGGTAAACAAACGTGGACAGCTATATTCTAGGAAAGCTTGGTCTGCAAATCCAGACAGCGAGCTGAAACTTCAGCATAGTCAAACCTGTTACACAGCTGAGTTAAAATAGGTCTCTTTCAAAACAAAGTCAGTGGTAGCATTTGGAAGGGACTGCAACCAAGAATGCTATTTGAAACAAAAACTAATCCTACTAACCATAATGATGTACCAACACACATTTTCATATAAATATGAACTATACATACAAAGTTTTCATATAAATAGATTTAAGATTATTCCAAGATGTCTCCTCTGTAATCTATAATATGTTACTTCAAATACACTCCTTGTGACATAATTATGAAGAGCTGAAGGAGTATTAACACAAAACACACCAGTCATCTAACTCTGGCCCAAAACTTTCCCTTAAATGGTAGATCAAATACACAATTAACATTGTCACGGTATACATAAAACTAAACCAGAGTCTATATTTAAAAACAAAATAAATCCCAATTATGTATTTCCCAATCAATTCCAAAATGTATGTTCTTGATAGGTCTTATAAAGGATTTGGTTTAATAAAATAAATCAAGATCAGAAAGAACCAAGCACTCTGAAAAACAGATCATTGCTAGATGGAGTAACCAGCTTCTCTAAATTGAAAGGTATCCTAGGAATGGATCTTACCTTAGATGCCATCCTCATAAAAAGTTTGCTTTGATTTTCTGCTGTTCCCATCTTTTCATTCCTGACTAAATCATTTAGGCTGAGATTATCATCATCGTGAAAGTATCTAACCCTTTCTTTTTCTTCATGGGTTGAAGCCTATGAGAAAATGAACATTATTTAGTGAAAACATGGGTCTTTGAAGTATTTTTAATTAACTATCTGTAAATCTGGTATTAAATGCAAAAATCCCACTACATACCACAATCTTTCCTTCCAGCTAGCTTATCCCTATTCTGTGTGCTTCCTTTTGGAAGAATTTCCATTAGAATACCACTCCCTACTTCTGCCCCATTACTCTCCTCTTCCCTAGGGATGGAAGTATAACACTATCTGATTCCTGGGTTTGGGGAAAAAAGCAGAAATCTTTTATCCCTTCTTCTCTTCTGGCTGCTCTTCTTGTAGTAACAATTCCTACCACCGTGGAGGGAAGTCTGCAGTCATCCAGAGATCGAGTAAGCATGCCAAAAACAGAGTGAAATATTAGCAAACCCATTTTATACAGCTCTAAAAGAAACAAAGCTAATATTCTGATTCTCATCTAAATCAGTCCTGGGTTTTCCCAGCAGCTTGTTCCATACCTACATTTGGAAAAGAAAAGTGCTATTTATTTCCTCTCAAGTCCAATCTCCCTTACATTCCCTTATTCTCACCTGCTCTTCAACCCCTCTGAGATCTTTGGAACCACATTCCCGGTATTTCTTCCCAACATTACTATTCCTGAAATCACTAGCCTAAATCTCCTATTCCATGACTTCAATCACTCCCTGGCTCCAGACCCTTAATTTCTGGCCCTCTCATCCTTTCATTATACTCAGAAGGCAAAGTTCAATCCCAAATGAACGTTGTCTGTCCTCTTCAGCCCGGTACCCACACTGCTGGGTCGGACGTAGCTCAAAAAGCTCAGTTGTCATCTGGCATCGCATGCATGACTCCTCAGCCAGTTCTGACCTTTCATGGAATCCAAACCTTTACCATTCTTCTGCTACATCTCCACTCCAAACCCCTAATTCCTCCCATTTCATTAGAAGAGGGATCCATCCCACTCTATTTGCTGAAAGAATTACTATCTCCAGCAGCATAGGCACTCAACAGGCAAATAATAAACACCTGACAAAAAATTATGAATGAACAAATCTTCTGTGGACCCAATTACCCCCTTGTATGATATTCCAAATCTATAACAAAAATTCTAACTTGGGAAAACTGAATACATTGTTTTAACCATCTCAAAAGCCTCAACGTAGTGCTAAAAACTAATTGGGAGAGCTGGAAGATGGAAAAGAAAATAAGGTTTATAAAGGATCAGAGCAACTACACAATTAAGACATTATTATGTATTGATATCCCATCACCATGGCTCAAATTAGATAAAACAAGATTTTCCCTAAGAGCTATGTTAAATATGTAAAAAGAAGCTAGAAACAATGGCAAAAAAATGTACACAAAATTAAAATCGCCAGGGCACCTGGGTGGCTCCATCAGTTAAGCATATGCCTCTTGATTTCGGTTCAGGTTATGATCTCAGGGTTGTGAGACTGAATCCCCGCATCAGGCTCCAATCCAAGCACAGAGCCTGCTTAAGATTCTCTCTCTGCCTAAGCTCCCCCCACCCAAAATTAAAATTGCCTTAGACATTCAATGTTCACAGTTATTGGAAAACTATAGTTGAATCAGACTGCATTTTGTAAAATGCAAAGGGATATATCCAAGAATAAAAGTAATAATATAATTTACTACCTTCTAACATTTGTATTATAAACCTACATTTCAGAATATTCTGAAGTAGTCTGATGCAAAGAAAGCCGGGGGAGAGAGGAACTCTGAATTAATAAACAAAGACCTCTGTTAAACACACCATCTGTCTCTTCCTTCTTCCTCCTTTAGATTCCAGAGATTTTCCTGGAGTATGTATAGGCCACACTCTTCCAGACTGATCAGTTCTGACCAGGATCACTTCTTGATCTTCATTCTATGGACAGATTTAGAGATAACTTTTGAAATTATTGTGAAGAATATTGAATATTTATATTTAGTAATCAAAAAAAGCATAAAAATGACTCTAGCTTCCACATGTAATTATAGATTATCTTCAGTCTCCTGGAATTTCATTACCCACTATAATATAAAATAATCACAATCTTTTCAGAGAAAAGGTTGGGGAAAAAATTCCAAGGTTCATTTTATTTATTTATTTTTTTAAAAAAGCAATCACAGAAGCAAACTTCAAATAACATTTCCATCTAGACAATATTAAAAGATGTCTAAGTATCAATATTCATACAGGCATTGTATGGGAGTACCCATAATTTATTCAGTAGATGTCATGTTTAATGTTTCTTCAATTTAAAGATGCTACTAAAACCTGATTATAAGAAATAAAGCAACGAGGGGTGCCTGGGTAGCTCAATGGGTTAAGTACCCGACTCTTGATTTCAGCTCAGGTCATGATCTCAGGGTCATGAGACTGAGTCTGGAGTCAGGCTCCATGCTGAGTGTGGAGCCTGCTTAAGATTCTCTCTCTCCCTCTGCCCTTCCCCTACCCCCACCACACCCCCTACTCAAGTGCATGCAATGCTCTAAAAGAAAAAAAAAGAAGAAGAAAAGAAAAGGAAATAAAGCAACAAAATGACACAACAACCTTGCTAAATTAGCTGCCATAACAATGCTCCACACAACTTCTATTCTTTCCATTAATAGCCCTAAAATGCTTTCCACTTCTCTGACTCTTCAGAAGTTATATCCCACTTGCTTTCAATCCATAATCTTTTTCCTACAAACTACTGGCCAAATACACGCCTGGTATGGTACAGAATAAGATTAAACTTATAGTCTACGAGGAAAATGAAAGTTATCAGAAAGGTTCTAACAAAGAATCACATAAAAAATATTAGGTATCTACTTTATCAAAAAGCAGTTTGAAACAAGTCCAAGCAGATTATTCACACTTCAATTTTTTTCTCAATTCAGAATCAATTATTAAAAAACCAATTTCAATTCCATTCAATAGAGATTTAGTTCCCCTGTTAAAATGGAAGAAAAAATATGTATCAATTATTGATCTTACATTCACATATAATACTAAGTAGATGGTAAAGTTGTTATCACTACTTTTCTTTTTCCATTAGTTAACATTAATTAATGATGTATCATATTTTAAAGGGTACCTCTCGTCATTCTCTTACTGGGTAATAGAGATGGGCAACACCTTATTTTTTATCTAAGTTTATCAGATTGCTAAAGCTGATCTCCCTAAGGACTTTCAAATTACTAAATCTAATACCTACTTACCAATTATCATCTTCCTTGATGTGAAAGTATTTGATTCTGTTTATTATATTCTCAGCCTGAAACTCTTCTTATTCCAGTATTCTAAATACTCTCTTTCCTGGTTCTGCCTTACCTCTCTCTGACCCATTATCCATCAAATACCCTAAAAAGTACCCACCTTATGTAGTTACTAAAAGAAATACAGTCCCTGCCTACAAGAAGTGTACAGCCTATTGAATGAATTATTCTGTACATGCATTAATCAGCATAAAGAAAGTCAACTTCACTTTTTCCTCCATTTCGAGCTATATTCCAAGTATTGATGATTCCAGGATTCCTTGGTTTCCATCCTTCCAGCCTGAACATAATTGTCACTCGTACTGACAAAAAATTCATTATGCTAAACACAAATGTAATTATGTCATTCTTCACTGAAAAACTTGCAAGGACCCCATACTACTCAGGAGAGATCAGTTACTTTTCAAAGTGTGGCCCACAAACCAGTACCAGTCAGAATTATCAGCCATGATATATTTGTCATCAGTCCACAATGAGTTAAGTACAAAAACTGAGTGTTTAAAAACTTTTACAATAATCTTCAACAGTAATTTTATGTTGGTTCAACCTAAATTAAAACTTGGACCTATATTTTAGAATATCTTTATTTCATTTTTCTATAATTTTTATTGTGTTTTACAAAACTATCAGTTCATGATGGGCTGGAAAATCCCCCCCCCCAAAAAAACACCCCACAAAAAACCACTCTGATCCTACAGTACAGTCTGAGAAACACAGTACTACACAGTGGGATAAAGGCCAAACACCTTAACATAACACATAAGGCCTTCAAATTCAAATACTATGGCCTTCTTCAAATTCACCTTTTCTCTAGCCATTCATAGTTTTTGTAAATTTACTGTCCATTTTTCTTCCTAAATAATTTTAGGCATGTTTATATTGCTAGACCATAATCTTTTTAGTAAGTATTTGTCTATTTACAACTATCTATCTGTCTTTGCCACTTTTCCAGGCCAAAGCGTACAGATATGCTGCTTCCCAGGATCTACAGTACCGCGTACAGTGGCGAAAAACAATGACAGTTCACAGATGGGATTAACAAACTGGTGCCTCGGACAGACTAATTGACCCACCACACTCCCAGCTATGCTCCTCTTCTCCATGCTTTTCTACTTCCTGTTCCTTGGGCATGCCAAGGGACACCATGTGTTCCCACTTTGGGTACCCAAGACAGAAATACTAAGCAATTTCCATATTTGCTACTCCATTAATACAGAACGTGGGGCTTATTTAAGAATCTACAACAGGATCAACACATGAAGGCCCACAAGCCAAATCCAGCCTGCTGCCTGTGTTTGTTTGGCCCACAAGTTAAGAATGGTTTTTACACTATTAAATGGTTGAGGGAAAAATCAAAAGAATAATATATTTCATGATGAATAAAAATTATATGCAATTCTCATTTTCGTGTCCAGAACGTTGTACTGGAACAGAGCCACGCTCACTCGTTTATCTACGGGCTGTAGATTGTATTATGTTCATTCCACGACAGCTCCAAAGCTATGTACCTGAGCTGCCACGACACACCCTGGAAAGCCCATAAAGCCTAATATATTTACTCTTTGGTCTGCAGAGAAAAAGTCTGCCAACCTTGGATCTACATTACTCTTCAGGTGATAAAACTAATTCAGAATCATTTAACGATTACTTTTACTACCTGAGAACAAGCAGGTTGAAAACCTGCAAGTGCTGGACAGCGTGACAAACAGATCCATGTTGTAACAGGGAGGGTGAGAGAATGGGGACCCAGAGCCCTTTCATTTTGTGAACATGGGCCTGACGTCCATTTCTGGCCACAGTGGCCACCACAAAAACCAGGAATAACCTGGCACAGTTAAAATAAAGCCAGACAATACGGAAAAATACATGAAACAACCAAGCCGGAAGAAACAGCCCAGAACTGAAAGTGGCTGCCTCCAGGTAGGGGGTAGGGTCTGAAAACAGCTCAAGACATTGCCTTTCTTTCCCACAGGCCTTCCAGCATTATTTGGGTGTAACACACTGATTAAAAAGAAAAGGAAAGGAAAACGCATACATCACTTTGCTTCAAAGCTGGTATTTGAAAGTTGTAAATGTTTGTTTGAAACCTATTTGTGGCACCTTGTGCATAAAGGAAAACCTCTTCCACCAGATCAGATTTTCCTACCAGTTGGTATTCTGCAAGTCTGTCATCACTGAGGGCCACAGAACATGTGTCTATCTTTTAAAATGTCAACAAATAAGCAGTTATGATAGTTCACAGTATTTTCATGACTTTTAAACAATCTCTACTGTATCTCTAATTATGTCCACAGAGCAGGTTATTCACTACACACAAGTTCCCAGCCGAGGCGGTGAGTGCTTTCCACTCATCAACATGTGTACCTGGCTCAAGGCTATTTGTTCATTTGTACACTTATTCACAGGACTTGATAAGCTCAAAGGAAGCATGGTGATGGTACCAGACGGACTCCAAGCAGCCTTAGTTACGTCTCCCTTTCTCAATTCATAACAACTGTTTATTCGTGTCTTCTCCCCGCCCCTTGATCAGCCTTCCTAGAGGCTCATCTATTTTATTAATTTTTCCTGTTTTTTTTTAATCACTTCTATTCACTTTTAGTTTTTATTTCAGGAATTTCATTATCTACTCTTCGATATGTTTTCTCTTCTCTCTTCTGCACTGGGGGGAGGGGGGTTCCTGGCCCCTGCCACAGGCAGAACAGCATGCTGGTGCGGATCCTGGGGCCAGAATGCCCATGTGCCAACCCTGCCTCATTACAGAACCTTGCATGTCACTTAATTACCTCGATTTCTTCATTCATAAAGATAAACAAAATAACAAGGTATTTTTAGGATCAAACAAATTAATACATAAACGTTATTTAAAACAACGCCTAAAAATAAAGTGAGTGATCAATAAATATTAGCTTACACTTTTTAGTTCTCTTTCATTTATCTAAACCTTTCTTGATCTGACTGAGTCTTTCCTAGGATTTAACCCCTCTCCTCTCTAAAATTCCTAGGATATTATTATTCTTCATATACATCTACTATTGTTTCACTTTTTCTTTAGAATATTATTCTGTTTTCAGAACTGAAGCTACTAAACATCCTTAAAGTCCTCTTGAGACTGTGCTGCCATTTTAAATTCACTGGCAATGAGTGTTTACAACCCGATTATTTTTTACTATGTTTTCTGGCATGCGAGTGTGCAAGCTTGATGGGAGGGTTTTTTCCTTCCCTCCTGCCACTCTGCCTCCTCCCACCCTTCAGAAAAAGGCTGTTTTGACAGTGTCTCCACTCAGTCCATGAGGACTCCCGATTCTTACAACAATATCTCACCCTGTGAGACTGGGGCTATTTCACGTAGTCCAAGTCACGGCTTCAAGCCTCTGTCTGCCTTCTTCCATCATTTCCTAGGAGTTACAGCGCTAAGTCCTCAGGCCATTTCCAGACCTTTCTCAGGAGCCCTCCACCCAGCATGAGGCAGGGAGAGGCTGTGTGAGGGGATCTGATTCCCACCCTCTCGGAGCAGCTCAGTCCTCAGCTGCTCTGCCTATTTTTGGAGTTAGATCCCTGCAAGCTCAAGATCCTTACTGTTTTATACTTCCGTTCAGTTCAGAGAAGTGTATCTTTACTTTTGAG